GCCCTCCATCAAAGTCTTTACAGTGTCATCCGGTACCAGTTTCTCAGTTTTTTTTTTCCATTTTCTTAACATGTCCCTCTCGTCTTTTACTGTCTTCTTGCTCTTCCGAAGTTCCCGCTTCATTATTGCCCAGTACTGCTCCACCGGGCGCAGCTCCGGACAGTTTGGCGGATTCATGTCCTTTGGAACAAAATGGACAGAATTGGCTTCATACCACTCCAGGACACTTTTAGAATAGTGGCATGATGCCAAATCTGGCCAAAATAGCGGAGCTTCGTCGTGCTGCTGCAAGAACGGCAAAAGGCGCTTCTCGAGGCACTCAGATTTGTAGATCTCGCCATTTACTGTGCCCTTTGTCACGAAAGGCTCACTCCTCAGTCCGCAAGAGCAGATGGCCTGCCAAATGAGATATTTGGAGGCGAACTTCGACATTTTCTTCTTCTTAAATTTGTCGTCCACATCGAACTTGCTCTTGCCGGTGAAAAACTCCAACCCCGGAATTTGCTTTAAATCGGCTTTTATATACGTTTCGTCGTCCATCACACAGCATATTTTGTCAGCATCTTCTCGTAGAGCTTCGGTGCCCGAGTTTTAGCCGTCGATTGTTGCCGCTCATCGCGGTTTGGGAAGTTCTGTACCTTGTATGTATGTAGTCCAGCTCTCTTCTTTGCATTCTGGACGTAGCTCTGCGACATGCCGATCTTTTTAGCCAAATCACGGCTTGAGACGTTGGGATTTGCTTTAATCATCCGCTTCACCTTTCCCTCCGTCTTTTTGTTCTCTTTTGTGAAAAACTCCAACCCCGGAATTTGCTTTAAATCGGCTTTTATATACGTTTCGTCGTCCATCACACAGCATATTTTGTCAGCATCTTCTCGTAGAGCTTCGGTGCCCGAGTTTTAGCCGTCGATTGTTGCCGCTCATCGCGGTTTGGGAAGTTCTGTACCTTGTATGTATGTAGTCCAGCTCTCTTCTTTGCATTCTGGACGTAGCTCTGCGACATGCCGATCTTTTTAGCCAAATCACGGCTTGAGACGTTGGGATTTGCTTTAATCATCCGCTTCACCTTTCCCTCCGTCTTTTTGTTCTCCGGTCCCGGTTTTCTTCCAGCTCCTTTGCCGTGGTCCAACGTCAACCGCTCCTGGAACCGCTTCAACACTCTGGAGACGGTTGAATGGTGAATGTTCAACATTTTTCCCAACTGCCGGTGCGACAGGTCAGGAAATTCCAGGTGTTTGGAAAGAATTTGTTCTCTCAACTCGCGTTGGTTCACCTCCATTTTCGTTGAATCGAAAAACACGACTTCGAGTTTGACAGCATGTACACAATACACATTAATGAGAAAGTGTGCAAAATTTGGTTGATTTTTACCAAATGGTAAAAAGTTATGCCCTGTTGAATGTGTCGCAATAATTTCGTGTTCGCCCTTTACTAAGCATAAACGATCCCTCCCTCATCGAGCTTCTAAAAACCACAACACTTCACGACAAAATATTATTAAGTTTTCGCTTGTTATGTAATGAACAACAAAGATACGCGATAGTTCAAATAGTTTCAGCGGTTAATGGATAATTTTAAATATACGAATGGTACTGCCAACGGCGACTACTTACCATCTGTCTAGGATATAACACCTTTGCACGACACCTACACTGGATCTTCATGTTCGCTATCTGTCACGGTTTCCAAAAATATCTAATAGCAATTACCTTTACTTGCATTGCCATCTGGGAGGAGGTTCGCGTCTAGTGCTTTCCCCAGAAACCGTTCACGGCCAACAGCTACCAACCTGGTCTATACAAGGTGTGGAATTGATGGCCTGTATGTATTGGTGAAGTTGGTTTTTCGCTCGGCTTTCAGTCGGCTTCGCACGATTTGCTTCTTTCGTACGCTCGTAGTTACGTCATAACGTTTGTTTCAATCAGCGTTTGCATTGGAAATTGAATATAAATTATAGAATTTCTGTATGAAGCCAAAATTTATGAATGTTTTTCCACTAAATGTTGAGATAATGAATTGATTATTTTATTAGCACACTGTATACCATGAAAAAGCAGAATACTGGTGAGTTTTTGCCTGTTTCCAAGTAAGGAGTTACTATAAAAATACAAAACGCCTACTGATATTTCCCGGATACTTTACAAAAGCATATAAGCAAGCGCTATCATCTTGCAAACATATCTAGAATTTTCTGTACTTCATTTTTCACAAATTTGCTTTGGAATGCTATGACGTCGTAGTCATCCTCTCCCAGAATGTTTACCTTCTTCCCTCTACCAACACATACGTGAGGGCTAGATCTCCACACCTTGTATAGACCAGGTTGACCAGCTACCGCCCGTCCGCTACATCCTTCAGATTGCTCGCAATCTTCGACACCGGCAAGAAACCAGCAGCCGAGCACTTTTGCAAGCCGAAAACTTGCTGGTTTACGGCAACGTCGGCCACCGAATCACCCAAAAAAACTCGCGACGGACACTTTATCAGCACTTTCCCGTACTAATCCGCAAACCGGATCGGGTTCAAACTCGTCTATGATGACGAGACTTTCGACAGACTACACGCTGAAAGTGTGGCATCCGAACTCGGAGAACCGGGCTCCCGGAAGGCAACTCAATTACAGCACAAAAAAATAATGTTTAAAGCAAAAAATTCCAAATCTTCGGAAGAAAAACACGCAGCAAAAAAGCGGCTGTCAAACGCGGCCAGCGCTGCCATTTATACAGATTTATCTGTATTATACAGATTTTTTAATCTTAATACAGACCCGATACAGAATACAGATTTATCACAGATTTTTAAATTACAATACAGATTTATACAGATTTTTATAAAATGCTTGAGAAAAAAAATTCAAAATTTATAAAAACAAAATAACTTGCTCGATTTTATCAGCGTACCCCCTTCTCTCCAAAATTAATTGTTGTGCTAAAAACCATATTTGGTTGAGTGGTAGTTTTATCAAATATCCGAGAGTTTTTGCCCCTCCAGTGGTTGGAAAACTGTTTTTGCAGTATGGAGAATATCACAAAATTCGCGACTCTCTACTAAATATAACGCCACAGAAGGAAAAAGGCGAACATGAAAGAAAACGAAATCCAATTTGGCTCAAAAGACTAGAAGAAGCTTACTCGTCGCTATGCTCCTCTAACATAAAAAAAAAATTAAAAAGTTTCTGGAACATTTAATCGATTCCACTGTGCGTTTATACAGCTGCCTTTTAATAACTCATGATGACATCAAAATTTAATGTATTTTTATTTTGTTTTTTCGGCATGCGTGCAATAACATGTTGATAACTAAATTTTTAATCTAAATAAAATATCTATATCAAAATAAGTTATCAAGCAGTTCTCACTAATATCAATATATGTTATAATTTTGATGTTCTTCGCATATCTTTTAGCTCTCATTTTTGTTCTGTTAGCCATCAACTCCATCAAAATGAAATCAATTTGAGTTATCAGGAATAATGAAAACAACATAATTCTTGTTTTCATTTTGTTCTCACCCTCTGCTCGGGAACCTATCAAATTTCCATCGACAATTAATCATGTTATGGTGTTTTTGACAGCATTCACAACCAGAGGACCAACCGCTTTCGGATGCATATGGAGCTGGTAGTAAACGATTTGAGATTGTATGGGGATTTACAGTATTAATTGAATATTTCCAATATAAGCATGTATGTTAAATACAAGAAAAGTGCCCGAGCACATTAAAATGGTACAAATACAAGTACTCGTAAACATTTTACTTGCATTGAAAATGTATTTCGTAAGAAATTGCGGATTTTCTGATATTCTCCATACTGCAAAAATGATTTTACCAGCACTGGCGGGGCGACATCTCTCGACTTTTCGGTGTAACTACCACACAAATGATGTAATTAATTGTATTCATCTATATTAAAAATATCAAATAGTAATGAGCTCGTGCACTTTTTTGCATTTAAAACTGCTTATCAGGAAGATAATGAATAGAAACTAAAATCTCCATACATTTTCAAACGGCTTCATATCACTCTTATAAATAAGTACGGACGATATCACAAATGGCGCAATTATACCCCGTATGGTTAGTACGATAGCCCGAATAGGTGGTTAAGCACTTTTTATGGTTATTTGGAATGCACTGTATTTGTAAAACTACAAAACATGATTAATTAAGAAAAAAATCATCAATACAGAAAATACAGATTTTTTAATAGAGTGGATACAGATTTTTTATAAAACCACCTGGCAGCTCTGAACGCGGCTTACTGCGATCACTTACAGTTATTACAGTAATTTATGACCTTTACGACAAACTACTGTTGTTTCCAGCTATATCAGTGCCAACATTTCAAAAGGACGTAATTACTTTGGTATCCAATGGTTTTAGTCCTCAATTTCTCGCGAATAAAAGCTCATCCATAAAAATCAATGACACCAACAGGTAGAGGAACGTCTCCTCTACCAGCTAGCATTGTTAATTTGGAGAGGTGAGCATTTATTTGCAAGAAATCGACGGCTAAAGCCATTGTTTGCTAATGCAATTACGCCTCTTTGAAATGTTGGCACTGACATTATTCAATGAGACACGGATTTTTAAACTCATTAATTGAATACATATACTCATATCAATATTTAAAGATACCATTAACCGAGATTTTTGACAAAATATTAAGTGGCATAATAAAATATAAAACAGAAAACCATATGTTTTCACTGCATACTGAACAATCTCACTACACGCTCAAAAGCTGTTTTTCTACTCATATTTTGATTTAATTGCAATGGCCCAAATTTTGATGACAAGAAAAACAAGTTGTAAAATGAATTACATACCATGCGATGCTGTTTATGACGATTTGGCAATGGTCGCGTATTAGCCGTTTCTTCATTTATGGGCAGCAAGTGGTTCCATTACAACCGTTTACCATCATCGAGCATTTGCGTTGTAGGCCAAGCGTTTGTATAACTTTTTATTATTCGTCGTTTTCTTCTTTCGTTCTACAGCGTAAAAACTGACCTACTGACAGGTGGCGCCATGAGCCGATTGTACATTGCGAACGCCAATCGGTACGACACCGGAAACTACACGTGCGCTCTGGCTGACATCGCCCAGGCAACCGTAGCAGTCCACGTTCTCAACGGTAACTGTGATTTTTACCCGTTCGTGCTCAATTCATGCATGGATTATTCCGGATTATTCGTGACATTTCAATTTTTCTTATGTTTGTCAATTACAGGTGAAAATCCAGCTGCCATGCAGCATGGTGGATGCACTGAAGGTCGTCCACTGACCAGTACTATGCTGCTGCTGTTTCTGGCGCTGGTAATCTGTACTATCCGGTGACTATAAGTGCCATCTGTCCTATCCACTGCGAATACTAAACACCCACATTTGTTTAATCATTTATCACTGTGCAAAATCGTTAGTTCAGCTACCAAAGACTATTGTGCAAGAAAATTATTACAAGCTAGTAACACTTAAAAACTACATTTACCAAACACGTATCTATCTGAAAAAAACGAAACAAATAACTTAAAAAAAAACTAAATTTTGTATCAAACGACCAGATGTCGTCCTGATCGACAAATGTCATGTAGCAATGTTAGATTTTTTGGTGTATCTTTCCTACGAATGTATAACAGTACCCATGAATATTAAAATTAAAATTATTTCCTCGTCATTCTTAGCTACGATATCGATGGAAGCAAATGTCATGACAAATGTGTTTACATTCGCGCTGTTAAATTATTTTTCATTTTAAAATGAAAATCAAGCAATACTTCTCTGTTCATTTTCGGGAGAAAAAATCAAATGTATACTTCACATACTATCCGCCGAAACCAATGAAAAAAAAACTAGGTAAGATGTCAAGATTCATCCTGAAAAGAATCTGAAAACATTTTGCATGGCAGGCAGGGGAAAATCGTTCAGTATTACACTCTAAACGTCATTAGCCAAAATTGACACTGTTTGTCTAATATTACAAAAAGTAACAATAAGAACAAAGCATGAATGAAAAATGTCAGCCAGTTTCAAAATGTCATAGCAAGCGGATTCAGCATATATCTTTATAGATAGTAATATTTTATGGAAATTTTAATCGTCCATTCAAACCATTTCTTGTCACAGAACGGTCTCCCAAAAATCAAGGCCAACTTGTCAAAAGTCGTATTTGTCAGCAGCATATTATCGAAGTTACTAAGGCAACCGAAACAAATGTCCCATATCAAACTTTTTCCGACCTTTTCTAATCTAATTAACAAACAAAAACTGCACTGTCAATGGTTTAGAAGAACAAACTAAATGAAAATGAAAAATTTATTTACTGTGTTTCAAGGGAAAAAAAATCATACAATTAACGAGTCAAGTTGCGCTACTAACATGTTTGTAGTTTCCAATTGAGTAGAATGTGATTCTACCGTGATGATTCTATTAGTAGAAATGAACAAAAGATAAAATTGGAAGAGAACCTTTATATACCGAAAACCAAATACGATGGCGCTTAACGAAAACGGAAACATTGAGTGAAATTTGATAGTGAGTAAATTCTATAGAAATCCAAATGTTGATTTTATAACCTGTATAAATATAATATAAAATAATTCCATATAAGTGTATTGCGCATAAAATAAGTCATCAAAAACAATGCTTGTATTGGGACATGACCAGTGGCTGCCAGACCAGACAGCCACTCGGAAAATTTAAAATAATACCCAGGAACTAACGAGTGAATAAAAGCTTTTATATCAACGAATCGCTACCATCGGCAATGGAACGAATGTTCCTAGCTAATTGCAAACACGACTAGCAATATTTGGAACCAATTAGGAACGAAATTCATTCATCGCCGTTGTTACGAGAGAGAGGTATAAAAGTAGAACCAGTAAATAAACCCTATTTATGAATAATCCCAATACGTTGATGGACAAACTGATATCCAAAAGCACACATGTGGATAAATTTATGCGCATGCAGACGGTGTTGTGACTAGAGAAAACCAAAAGAAAATTATGTCAGAATATTTATTTTACGAATCTCTGATAGATAAAGGAATATGCATTTTTATAACCACATATATAAATATACAGTTCAACAGAAAGAAGAAAAAAAAAGGTATAACTGCAAACCCGTACATAGGAATAGAGAGGTGAATTTTATATTCATTTTATATAAATTTAAATTAATAACAGAACAAACTTATCAAACTGATATGTAAAATGATGGTTGTGGTCAAAGCTATATGATTAACATAAATAATTCATATAATATTAGATATATCCGAGGTACAGTAATAAAAGTATATTAATAAATAGTCAATAAACGAAACAAGGAGTGTTTCTATTGGATCGTTGGATGCTTTGAAAGAAATAAATCGACTGGGAATTCTCATGGTTGTCATAATACTCACCCCTATTCTGCATTTTGTTCGAAACGAAATTCTCATACAAAAAAAATATTTTTTTGTATAGGAATTTCGATTCGAACGAAATACAGAATAGGGGTGACTAACTCAGATACGAAGTAAATATTCTGTGGCCACAGGACGAAATGATGGCCGTTATCAATATCGTACAACTAGTGTATCACATTAGGCATAAATACGTTTGGCATATGGACGTTAGACATAAATATATTGGACGTTAGGCATAATATACTCATGCTGTTGAGCTCTGGAAATTCAGCTTGCATTGTGATTATCGAAGCCTTCAGGAAGTTCAAGCTACGAATGATAGTTAATGAATGAATGAAGAATGAATGTGTTTATAGAGGCATCTGAGGAGTCAATTTTCCCATTAATACATTAACTAATAAAATTGGAATTTAGAAAGATCGTGGTAGGCCGCGATGAAAAGTTGACGTGTTTTGTTTTTGCAGCTGTATTTTTTCGAATGAAGTTTTATGATTTTATCTAGGATTTTATGCAATTTTCAAACGCGATTGATGATTTCAAAAGTGTTTTTAAGTGTTCGTGATTCAGACAAAAATCTTTAGAAATGTGTCCTTGTCGAGGGGAACCCGTTCCGAAAAATTAATTTCTAAAGCACGCTGTTTGTGTTTGTCAAGGAGAAAACGTTATTTCTCTGATCGAATCTTCCGGAACCGATTCGCGGGCAAAACGGGTACCTCTAGAGTGCTTGAAAAACCTGGGTGAAGTGCCTTAAGAAATTTAAGAAGAAGAGTGAAAATAGCGCATGCTCGCAAATAATGAGAGATGGAAGTTTGGTGATGGATTTGGATAATATTGAACAAGTGCTGGAATTTGGTGAGACTTACTCAATGAGAATCGAGATGACAAAGATTCAGCAGCAAGGACACAATACATAAGCTTTTTTTTAAATCTTTATTTAAGAGATGTTTAGTTAAAGGCTAGTTCATCTCTACAATACATAAGCGGTGAGATCTAACTGATTACAACTAGACATAAAAATATGAAATGCATCCTACCAAATACGTGCCATCTACAAAGCAGGAATTGCTTTGATGATGGAAGTGTATACGCAGTACCAATATACATTTTAAATCGGTACTACGGGGCTTATTGTATGCGGGGCTTGTTGTAAGTGAAAGTAACCTCGGAATGGACGTGAGTGACCAGGCATTCTGAAATGGGTTACTGAATCCCAACACAGCTATCACCTTTCAACTTCCGGGCTAAAATTGTTTGCAATGGGATCGGTATAATATAATAATAGATTATATTGCAAATATTTTTCTTCCATAAAAACACTGCCAGACAGTGGAAGTTGGATTGCATATTCATACGTACACTAAGCAGGAATGTTTTACACTTTGAAATGCTGTATTTATACTAAATGGATTGTTCATTGCCGTTATAAAACCATCATAAATCAGAATGGATGCCAAATGGTTACTGAATTGTTACTTGGGCTTGATCGCTGCCGCTGCTCTTGGGTAGTCCCGTTCATTCTCCGTTGCGTTGAAGTTCTTCACGTACTGTGACTGCGAAGGAGAACAAGTTGTACCGAAAATAGCGACGTCGGAAGCCATTGTCACCATCGGTTCACTCGGTGAGTTACGGAAGACGAACAACAGTGCACTTCGATCCTTCTTCCTGATTCCGACTTGTAGGAACATTTTCTGGATGTCTCCGGAAAACGCTACCTCGCGTTCCCGAAACTTGAAGATAACATATAGCTGCGAGGGTCAGCAGATCAGGCCCTTTGAGTAGCATCGAGTTTAACGACACTCCGTTCACTTTCGCTGCCGCATCCCAAATAACGCGCACTTTTCCAGGCTTGTTTGGATTCAGTACCACGCCAAGCGGAAGGTACCACGTACGCCGTCGATCAAAATTTGCTATTTCCTCCTTCGTTACTACGTGAACGTACCCTTTCATTTCGTAGTCTGCTGTCATAGAGCTTCGAATCCTTTTGCAAGCGCTTTTCAAGACACGTCAAACGACGCTCGGCGATTATTCGACTGTCCGGGAACTCGATGGAATCTTTTCTTCAAAGCAGCCCGGTCACGAACTTCCCACTTGCCATGCGAACTGTTGTCTCCTCGATAATTCTGCGCGCTCGTTCGTCTTCACTTCCTTCCAAGTTGGGAGCCACAGCAGCTCCAAGGCTCTCCACAGAGAAAAATTCTCGAACGTAGTCGTGGAGGTCGTGCTCCACCGTGTCAGAGCCCAGGTCAGCGCATATGTGCCAGCGCCACCCAGCCGATGCGAGCCTTTACAGCGATTGGTTTTCGCTCTTTACCTTCTCGAAGCTTCGTTGTCGTCAGCAGTCGCCGCAGATGATGGAACTACTTCGAAAATTTTGCAGCTTCCAACGACTGTTCCGGTAGTCCCAGGCTCTCGACAGTGTACACTTCAGACAGATTGAAGCGCCGGTCGCATCCGGGCTCAGAATTGCTCAACGTCTCTAGCTCTGTACTCGCAAGTTTCTTGTTAATCCCGCTGGTCCAATGGATACACAAAGAATGTGCTCGCCCGCTCAGTTCATCTGCAATGGATTGCTCGACGATTGATATAGATGAACTGTCGTCTAAGAACGCGTACGTTTTCACCGACCCGTTTTTCCCGTACAGTGTCACTGGCCGTACCTTGAACAGCGTCGAAGAAACGGGCTGACGGTGGATGGCTGTTTCTTAGTGGGTTCCGAGTGAAGGCGTTTCTCACAGATATTGATACCGCAAACCTCGCTTTCACATGGCCAACGAGTGTGGGATACGAGACATCGATGGCAGAGTTTGTTGTCCTTGACGACATTCCACCGACCGTCGATCGAAAGCTTCTTGAAAGTAACACAGCTAGCAGCCGCACGCTGGACAGATTTTGGCTTCTTCTCCTTTGCCTTTAGCGCTCTTGTTCTGTCCTCGCCGATCACCAGATTGATTGCCAGCTGCTCCTGGATCCTTCTGTTCTTGGCCTGCATGAGCGTTCACGAACGCCTTTTCCTTGGTTCTGGGTTTCTCCTCTTTCACCAGCAGGTTCTCTTGATGCAGCGCCCAGTTGAACTTGATGTTAACCGGCAGTTTAACCACGAGCTCTTGTAGAAGGATGGGGTTGGAGAGGTAGTTGTCCATTCCAACAGCTTGCAGGTGGCCACACAAGTTTTGGACCGCCAAACCAAAATAGATCAACATCTCCAGCCTTTCTGCTTTGGAAGCGGGTGTACCTCGAACTAGCGTTACTGTGCTGTCTTCCGTGTGCATGGTTGACATAGCTTGCGGCACGGTGGATGGATCGAGCGACTCCTTTAAGCGGCCGTTGTAAACGAAGCAGATTTTCTGAGTCGGTATAGCCGCACGCCATGATGGAATGGATGTAGCTACTAATAAAGAGTGGCCATTCGATGGGATCGCCGCTGAACACCGGAAGCTCTCTGGAGATAACTTGTCTCGCCGCCAACTGTTGAGGCGTCCGTCCCTGAATCACCGACTGGTGTTGAACGGGCGCGAATCGGTTTAAATCCGCGGAATTCTGTACGAATTGTGACTGCCCTAACGGATCTACTAAAGGAGGCCCTATTAAAGGTGGTGCAAAGGTTCTAGGGGGTGTTCCTAATCTCCTATCCTGGCTAGCGACAGTTGAACTAGGTGTCGATCTATTTCGATCGTTATCGAGCAAGTTTCGGTTAGATTTATTTTGATCATCATGGGAACCACTATCTGAAGCCGTTGGAGGGTTTGTACTCATGGCTACGCCTTCCTGGGTTGGTCCTCGGGAGCTCCCAAGTTGTTCCGCTGAAGCGCCCAGGTTCAACACCGAGTGATAATTGTCCGCCACAGAATGCTGTTGCGTCGCCTGACGCTCTTCTACGCTTACCCGCTGTTCCGCCGCCAAGATCTGTCCGGCCGGTCTTCAGTCGGTTCACCAGATCCAGTTCTTTCTTCCTCCGGATGTTGCATACGTTGCCTGTCCCGCTCCCGCTGTTCCTCGGGTTGCCTCAGTAAATGGATTAACTTCTGTGGTGATTCTTACCGGCAAAAGGGTGATTTTGCTGCAGAAAGGTTACCCGACCGCAACATTCTTAATGACCCCCAAAATCGCATGCTCTCTGGTGTCATATAGGGGAAATGGCTCTAATGTAGGCCTATGGATCTAAGATTGGGCCCATCGCTAAAAATCTGCTATTTATCCATTCTATCTAGATGAACGCGTCATTGGAACGGTTCTAATGGATATTTTTGGTCACTATTGAAAATTTAGACGATTGCTGAATTTATGTATGGGCCCAAATTAGGGACATTTAAGCCGACATTACATCCATTTCCCCTACGCAAAGCATTGGCCAAATGGTTAATAAATTTTCACTCAGTAGTCGCATTTATTTGTGGTCATCGATAAAGTTCGATAGTTGTTTGATAGCACAAATAACATTCTCTATTCAACTTTTGACTTTTAAAGTTGAACTCGTCGCACAATGGGTCAGGAATACGGTATTATTAAATTTCTGGAGATATTTTGATTTACCAAGAATTTGAAAAATTTATCACTATCAAATACTGAACTATCGAATGTGAACCTAAAAAAACCTCGGAAAACAAGTGGCCCAGTTTCAGCGATAAATGCTCACATCAACAAATATTTTTCAAATAAGCGGTCGATTTGAGACGCAACTTTTTAATCTCTGTTGTTCGGCAAAACTGTGGTTTTGCAATGTCATTGTTTTGCTGTTTTGCTCTGATTCGACGATTCGCCGCTGCCGTGAACTTTGCCGCTGTGAGATGATGTCATCTTCTAATTGAACACAAACAACACTTTCTTTCGATATACTCGGGATTATTTATTGATTGAGCTTACATAGTTTGTTTTGAATATCGTGTAAAAATAGATGCATCCAAAAAACTGTTTACATTCTCATTATACTCATTATTTGGCAAGATTGTTAGTTATAGTGTAGGATTCGCCCGATCAAGTTCATCCAATTAGGTCCAGGTTGTTCCAGACGACCTCCGCCACACCCTAATACTGATCACACTAAACCGTGGTGGAAGAAACGAGCATTATCAAAAATATCATCTCTCCTCTTTTCTGTTTTCATTCCGGCTCATTTTTCCAGAGCACTTCCGTTACCTGGGTGGCGGAGCCTACTTATTCCCAGCGCGTCATGGCACACTCGATCGATCGGCTGGCATTGCATTGAAATGCTGAATATATAAAGTTTATCGTTTACGATTTTTGTTTGTTTGTTTAGTAAAAGTGTGAGCATTGATTTGTATATAGTGGTTTGTTTGTTTTGATTTTTTTTTTTCTTCGTTTCTAAATGAGCAAGTACATAAGTTTATCGAGAAGAGTTGTTACAAACTAGTGAATGGAATATTTTTTTTTTTTAAATGCACGCGTTACATAAGATGAAGACACACTCCAAGTTCGAGAATCATAGTTTATAATGTGTATATGGTGATGAGATGTATAAATATTGAAATTTTGGCAAATGCTATCAATGGATTGAAATTAGATTTCGAAAGATGCACACTCTGCTTCTGTTTAATAGTTTACACAGTTGTGTTTGTCACTCTAGCAATAAATTAAAAACATGGGATTTTCCGGCTATAAATCATGGTCTAACGAACGTGTTCAACATAACGGATAAATAGACGACCCAATAAAACGATCTCGTCTGACTAGCGGAAGTTATTAAATAAACAATGTGTTCCTTTTCTTTTTCCAATAAAAACAGATTTAACGTGGTCAAAAAAGCAATGACGAAAACAGTATTAAAAGGGGGTTTGACTTGGTCCAAGGTAAGTTCACGTCGTAACATACATTATTTGAATAAAATCACAAAAACATCGATACTGCTTCGATCAGTTTATAGATTGTCGGGAGCAAAATTTCACTTAGATTATTTAAAAAGTATCGTTACAGCTTAGTTAGTTAGAATTGTTTCGTAAGGTTTTTTTGCATTTGTTAAGTTTTTGGCAACATATGTTCGCTAGAATTGTCATTTCATGACGGGAAGAGAGGGGAAGATCAATCAATGGCGCGCAAACGGAGATAATACAAGTAGGGAGTGGAGAAAACTACACCGAACCTAGTGGCTAATTATGTTTAAGTCCATGAATATATGCTTGAATAATACAACCAGAATAATTGCAAACCGTTCAATTGCTTTGGATTTGGAAAGGTCCAGACGGATTGGTTTACGTAAGTACTTTTTAGATGTGCATGTTGATGAAGAAATATGGAAATAAGAAGGGGGTGAACAAAATGGGATGGCAGCTCCACTATTTACATATCACAAAAACGAATCGACGATATAAAATAAAACAATAATGGTCAATTAAGTTGCTTCCTACTTACGTGTGGGTAGTTTCAGTATCAAGAATAATCAAGAAAAATCGGTCAAATTAGATAAAACGCAACGTCAAGAGAGAGCAGATCAAACGATCTTGAATGCAATGATTTCACTTAACTCTTTCTAAAACGTCTAAAGTACAAGCGGACTACTGTTAGTTTAATTGTTTGACAGTATTTGATGCTCAAAAATTAAACCAATGCCTGCTAGATCGTTTTCTGGCTTTGCAACTCGGAATTAGAAAGTTGCAAATTTACAAACAATGATTTGAGCCAATCGATTAATGCCTAACTCATGTTCATTGGTATTGTTGCTAGAATGTGCTTAGGTGATAGGCAGATTTTTTTAACGTCGAATCAAGGGGTATTCAACTCTGCACACCTTAATCCGTGCCGAAAGCTGTGCCCAGCGCTATGCCGAACGTGGTTTCAATCAAAATGAGCTATGACTTTTTTATTATGTTTACATTCTCAATTTATCAGATGGATCAAGGCAAGCTTTCAGCTTCCTTCATTCTCATTAGTGCGTTTGTGGGGTGGAAGAGGAAGTGGAAGCCATCAAACCTGTACGGTGTTCAACCCGTCCACCAGATTCCGGCTCGATGTCCCTGCTGCCGATCGATGATGGATGAAATTGCCACCTCCTCCCTATTCAATTATTCCCGACTAAAGTAACTCAGAATTTGAACGGGCGAGAATTCAATCCCACCCTAGGAGCAACATCCTCGGGCCAGTTTTTAATAAAGCCTCGAATCAAATTTTCAGTAATGAGCAAGGCCTTACAGTTGACCGATCGGTAGACCACCAATCGTTCTGGGGTCCCTTGATACGAGCTAGTTCAACAGAAGGATGTGGATATGCCATCGTAGCCAATATCAATTGGGACCAATGACTGCGAACGTGTATAAACTGACGTTCATTGTGTAGAGGTTTGTTTTTGATTTTCATGATCACGGGATCCAACCAGTTGGCACCATAGGTACTACTATAGCTTTTGACCAACCGTCGGTAACCAGTTTCAGCCGTCTTGACTGCCTTTCGACCGGCCATGGTGTGAATGAACTAGATTGAAGTCAATCCCGAATAGAAGCTGTTCTGGATGAAATCACGAGCCGAGTTTGCCTAGATTTAAAGGGATTCACGGTTCAGAGAATACTTACAAAAACATTCTTAAATTCTTGATTAAATCGTTGTTTAACAAGTTTTATATATGACAACAAATTCACTTTTGAGTAAACAAGGTATTCAACCGAGTAGTCAACCTTAGCAACGATTGGCAAAACATCAACACTCAACAGTGATGCCATTTTATATTATATCGTTTGTGTCCTACTAGTCAAAGTGTGCCCTATCGTACCGAACAGTGTACCGTGCTGTATTTTGGCACAGTGTGCAGAGCTGATCACCCCTTGCGTCAAATGTTTTTTAGATACCATCTTTAGACATTTATTAACTTTTGAATAATTTCAAGAATGCATCTGTGTTGATAAAAAAACCAATAGTTGTTCGATGATAAGATATAAGATCGGCAAAAATTAGCGTTTTTCTTTACAAGAAACCACTTTCTCTAAAAATATTATTTTTTATGGGACCCAAGGGGGCACCGTTGATAACTGAAGAATTTCTCCACATCGGTCAAATGAAGAGCTAGACAAATGGTGTCTTCAGAAAAGTTGCTAGAGATTATGTTTTCTTCTTTCTTATCCGGCGGATGCAACCATCTACAACCTCAAACAAAAAAGTTAGATACCGGATTTAACTTCAAATTACCAGCCTAATCAACTTTTGCAACAAAAGAGGGTCGATTTTAATTATTTGATTATTTATTTTATTAATTAAATTATATCAAACATAATGCTTGTGATCCATTTTGGGCGATCTTATCGATGCAGTTTTCACGTTCTTGAATAGAATATCAAAATTATCGCCATTGTAGAGAGCTAAATTCAAGCCCAAATGTCTCATGGAAATCCCTAAGATTATTCAGGGAATGTTAAGAGGGCTTCAAGTTCAAGTACACAGGGTATCTAAATAAATACAGAGAATTTCCAGAACAATCAAATCAGAAAACTCTGTTCGCAAGTCCATAGATTCTCCAGAATAAGTTTAGAGAACTTCTAGGTCAATTTCAAAGCTTCTTCCATCAGGTTAAATACAGAGGACGATCTTGAGTATGCCTTGCATTGGCGTAGCTAACGGGAGTCCCCTTAAGAATGATCCAAACTCCATCCAGATTTGTTAGTGGTTAAAATACCATCAATTTAAATTATTGTAAGCTTCACAAAATTCAGGAGGAGGCCTGGATCATTCTGCAGGGAGCCTACCCCCTAGGCACCACCATTAGCTACGCCAATGATGCCTTATATGTGCTAAGGGCGTAGTCCAAATAGCCTGGAGAGGAAAATCACTCCACCTACAGATCGAATCCAAAAATTCTCTTGATGAAACATGTTCCACAAATATTCAAACCTTTCTTTCGAAATTAAATCATCAAAGCGAGTTTCTTTTGAATTTGACAGTCGAGCTGATAGTAAAACCCAAACAACCAAAACAGTTGTGCTTTTCCCTCCGAAAAAAATCAAATAATGGTAAACCTTCAAATTATAGACTCATTTCCCAAACAAATTATCGTCACAACATCACTTTGCACCGCACTTTTCATTCCTACTTAAACGTCGGACCTTCCGTCACTGTCAGCTGACTCACTACATATACTACGAGGAATTCAATATGTGCACAAAGGGGAAGAGGAGGGGGTGGGGGTACTAAATGTCACTAACGCCCAAAGAGAGTGAGAGAGCCAAACAATCCTCAAAATAGACCCTTATTTGTCACAGTAGAGTTTCCCAACTACTTGGGACCCAATTTTTACTTAGAATAGTGTTCACTTTACGAAACCATATCATGTATATGTATAATGCTTGTTGTTTTTTTGTTTGGTCAAATAAATAAAAAAAAACGTCTATGTATATTTTTTCACATGCTTGCAATCGAAGACTAAAAGCTAATAATGCTATTGATTATCAGTCAAACTCGTTGGCATTACAGTAGGCCAGGCAATTTTCGCGTCCACCCGTTTGTATGCGATCATGCAGTGTTTTCCGCACGCTGCCATACGCACATCCTGGGGACACTCGTTATCTTGCAGGAGGGTTTCTGTAGATCAAAGAAGGCGAACGTTACAACCGTGTTTGCACAGCTTGCTACGATTGCAAATTTTTCAATACATACCTTCTCCGTCTATCAGTTTGAAAAGTCCGTAGTCCTGTGCATTGGTTATTCGCGCCTTGTGAGCTATGATCCGGCACACCTCCCTTGTCGTTGTATGCGGCCTGATTGGTAACGTGCGCGTCTGGATCGATCCGTTGTACTCGTCCGGTATGATTACCCTCAACACGGACGAACATTCCGGAAGAGTTGATGAGGTCCACTGATGCCAGGAAAAAAAATCGGTCATTGAATTGTGGTTTAAATTCCCAACAAGAGCTCACCTCCACCGATCCGGTAAGTCCCTCGTTATCATGCAGGGAAAAGTTCTTCAGCACATGCACGGCACTGCACAGAGCCGTCAGGTAGTATCCCGCCTCCCCGCTCAGCAGTGATGGTTGAATCAGTCCCCACATGTACTCGGCTTCGATTTCGGCTCCGATGAAGCCGCAGTGGGCCACCACGAGCACTAATACTGGTAGAAAGTCATCCGCACTCAGCTGTTGTCCGTTGTAGCAGGATGTGGCTTCGAAGATCGTAGACACGGCCGTCAGCAGAAGATCCAGCTTCTCGAGGGGCAGTTCCGTTTCTTGAAGCCGCACGAATAGAGCGGAAATTTGCCGGAGGGCACTCGGACTCGGTGGAGTAACGGTGTTCTGCAATGGAGTAAACTTCTGAAAGGTTCTGTAGAAATTCAAAATGAAGTCGCCGCTTTGAACGACTCCGAATCGTTGTTCTCGTAGTAGGCTGAGGTTGAAGGTAGACGCCAGCCTACTGTGAAGACACAGTTTTAAAGAGTAGATGAGCGAGATAATCAGTTTGATAAGTTGAATAAACAAAATTGACCCAGATTACCATTAATACTCATCGATTAGAACCGAGTCTTACGCAATGATTGATATAAGTGACATCATCCAATTATTGATGCTAGAAACCGACCAAGACTTACCTTGATTCCAAACACCAACGGACCCCGTCCGGAGGCCTGCTTGACCTTCTCCACCAGCAGCTGGATGTCACCCGATTGGGTGTAGTAATCGACAAACAGCCCATATAGATGCTCGCGCAGTGGCAAAATCACCAACCGGTGCATCACTTCCTCCAGTATCGAATCTAGATTAAGGAACTCGTCCGACTTCAGCTGAGAACGCGCCTTTTGCACCTCGTTGGCAAATTCGCCCTCCCCGTGCTTGACCAGGTAGTTCTTCATCCCGCTCATAAACTGCCGCATATTCCGCATCACGACCTGCGGGGCAGCTTTCGACTCTTTGGTGCATGATATGAAGTTTGATATATTCCGCGAGAAGGTCGACTCCGTATCATCGGCCAGCGATAGGGCATACGTTCCGATCGATTCGCCGGGACCGCTGAACACAGTCTTATTGCGAGGATGGCCTGCAAACACAGAGAGATAGACATAAACGTTTGTAAAATTCAACTTTAAATATAGCCTCTGGGCCGGACTGGTTGCGCAAACAAAGCGAGTATCATCAAGTGGATGAGGATGAGACACAGAGGCGAGGATTTTATGGGAATTTTGCCACTATCGCTTTGTTTGATTTGATAGCAGAGCGGGTTATGATTTATGGGCGGTGAGCTGACATGCCGCTAAGCGATGCGCAAACGGGTGTTTTAGGTGTGACCACCACGGTTCCGGGATAAACGCATCGCGCTGTCATCAACGTGTTCAGTGGTTGGTGAATGCTTTCAGCAAATCCTGAACAAGTTAGATAATCAAAGCTAGGACAAAAGTCGAATAGTTTGCGGATATAGTAGCATTGAAAGGAGATTCTATTCTAATACCACGTTCACATTACAGCCTATATTACGGGATATATCATAATCCATAAATCAAGTTTTCACTGGAAATAATCCCAAGGCGAACCAGCCCATGGCTGAAAGCCTTGTAAATAAAGAAAAAAAAATGAAAATAAATACGTAATAGGGGTATAAAGGTTAACTATTAAATCAACTTTCTCTTTCGTTAATAAGTTGGGTACAGAATCGTTTTTGGTCATGAGCTAGATAATAGCTTCTTTCATCGATCTGTGTGCTGAAAATAGCTGGAAATGTCTTAACATGGCCGTGAGGATGCAAAGAGAAAATCAACGAAGAGAATCTGTCAATGTTACTTACGACCTAATGCATTGTTCAGCTTGAAATGTTTATGACATGCACCCTAAAAATTTCAAACTGGAAAATCGCAGCAGGCTCGGTCACCAACGGTTCATTTTCTACTTGCGCTGTCAGATTTCGTCTTGATCCTCTACTTGTATGTGGAACATGGTGTGAGAAACAGATAAGCTTTATTCTAATTAGCTGAGCTAACAATTTTGTTAGCGATTATCACCTGCGCAAACTATTAAAACCATTATCACTTTTGTTAGCTTCCACTAAGTTTAAATTTATCGGAATAGTCCGCTAATTAATTCTCTTCACAAAAGGTTCATTCACATTAGAAAAAGTCCCGTCGTATTTATGTGTCCCACTCAAGAATAATTTTGTTTTTCCTTGATGCGTTTTCCGTCGATCTTGTTTTCCGTACTGAGTACTAATGCTTCCACACCTGGCAGCGCCGATTGGGATTGAACCCAGGCCTTTTGGGGTGAGAGGCAATCACGCTTACCACTACAAAATAATCGCCTACCGGCGCCGCTTGGACTAAAGAATTGTTGCAATGTGATCAACAAATGATAACTATATGTCGGACACATACTTCCTATGTGAAAACATGAAAGCCAAGTGTAGAGTTAGGATAATTTCCGGCCTACTAAGCGTCATTAGGCCGAATTATGAAAAGTGAAAGATTGAACTTGGAAATATTTCTTGGAACATGTATCTTTGGGAGCATCCATTAAGTACGTCACGCTCTAAGGAGAAGCAGGGTTTACAAATGTGTGACATGCAAAAAACGTGACGAAGAGGGAGACGAGGTTGATTTTCGGAACTATCAACTCTATACTTTCATCTTCTCGTCTATCGTATCAAATTATGTTAAGCAGGTTTTCCACAGGAAAACATGAGGCAAATTTACTCATCGCTGAGTTTCTACACTTTTGACGATTATTAGTGAACTAAACTCAAATTTGGGTCGATTTCGCTGTGCATCACGCACATAACGATTAACACCGGTAATTCACCACGCGTCCCCTTTACGCTCCAAAATCCCGGAACCAATCGTTTCCTCACGATGTTGACTACCACCTTCCATTGATTCCCATGCACACCTTTGAACTCCCACCAGCAAATCACTCACCTTTCGTGGCACATCGCAAGCAAATCATAATTTTTCTAACCAGCTGTTTCCACGTCGAGTGGAATCGCGTTCCCTCGTTGACTTCGTCTGCGTATTCCAAATTTTTGAAGATTTTCTGATACTTCTTCTTGTAATTCAAACACTCGCCCCGTTGCTCCTTGATGTGACCCACGTCGATTATGATGTTGCCGGCATCGTTAAGGCCAAAATGTGCCTGCACATTGGCACTGTCCTCTCGGGTCATTCCGCAAGCCGCGTGCAGCGTGTTGCTGGTTGATTCGGATTCGTTGCTAGGAACGGTATCGCTCTCGCTGTCGGGTGCTTTCTTCAACGATCGATAGAGCGGGCCCATCAACGATCGATTCAGAGCATCCAGGACATCCAGGTGGATTTGCTGGATGGCAATGCTCGGTGGCTGATCACTCTTGATGGATGATTTATGCGATTCAAGAGGTTTTACCTGATCCAAGGTCATACCATACTCGATTTTCGATCCCAGCTGTATCAGATATTCCAGAGCATTCGGTTGCGGTTCAAAGAAGACGTCTATATCCTGCTCATTCACAAATACGTACTCGCTTAGATCCAGATCGTCCTCCCGGTCGTCATTGAGGATGGTGCTGAACGAGGTCACGTTATAGTTTCGATGGTCTAGTGGTGATGCGATGATTGACTTCAGCCCATATTCGACACTACTCACGTCATTGCCGGCGGCTCTGCTATCAACAACGCCGAGCCGTGTTGCGATTGTTCTGTTATCTTTTCTCGACTGGTTACAGACTATGCAACCACCAACGTCCAGCAGCCACTGGGAATCGTTGTTTTTATCAGCATGTTTGCATTTTCGATTACCGTTAGTTGCAGCATCACTAATCTGCGAGTTGCACGGTAGGTTGTTTGGAATGGGATTTACTCTAGCATATCCACTCGCACCACGCTCGGTGCCAGTGTCCGCTGCGAACGGATCTTTTTTATTCCGGCTCGCGAACCTTCCGAGCGACAACTTTTTGAACCAATTCATGGCTTATTGAGAGACGATTCTTTCCGGATTGTACAAATCGACGAAATCTGAAGTTTCTCATCAGAACAACGCCTAGATTTGCTGCAGAAAGAATTATATTGCACCGATTCACCTATGCGATCGATTTTGTGCAAGATTTCTAGTTCGCAAACATGGCCATGGCCAATAGAAACTTCTCAAACTACCAAACGGTTCGCTAAACTACCTCCGATCGTATTAACCACAACTTAAAGACTGTTCGATCGACTTCGAAAACGCATCCAGCTAAACTACCGCTGCAAACAGCGTAGCATATTCTCTCTGTTTTGATCTAACTAATACATTACAGAGGGCATCCGTCATAGGGTCCTCTCAGAGGATGCTCTCATCAGGCAGGCAGCCAGACAGACACACTATTCACCTCGCCCTTGTATTGGTGATCGATGGTCAATAGTAATTGATAGCCACTCGACTCGATTGTTTAGAATGATCGTCGAAAGAGCAAAACCGACAGAAAACTTGCACTAACTGGATTGTACAATCAATATTCAAACACATCAGCCAACACGCACTTATCGATCTGGCCTACTACGCGCGGACCAAAACACTGCAAACAATGGGAAATGCGTCTCAGCAGTGGATCGGGATTCTTGGAACGCCACCGGAAGAAAGGAAAGGCATATGACCTTGATCGGTTTTCCCCGTCCTGCTCCTGCTCTGCTGCATAGAACTGGAACAAGTTTACCTATTTAGGGTTAATGTTCCTGATATCGGCTCAAATGTCCCTAATATTAGGCCCAAACATAAATGTCGAAGGTATGCATTTTTTTTTACAATTGTCCACAAGCAACCCACATGACGCATAAGAAAAAAATAAGAACAGGAGATTTTTATCGATGGGCCCAATCTTTCAATCCAAAGGCCAACATTCCTGCCAATTCCCCTATACATTCGTTCATTCACATGAGCTCAGTTCCCTATGGCGCCATTATACTGCAATTGTGGCCTAAGCTTTCATCATTCCGTCCTCTATTCCGTAGCTAATTTATGAAATAAAAGAATTGGGAAAATCCCAACCATTCTGCGTCTTAAAATTTACCCAGGTATAAAGGTCCTATAGCTAATGGGACCAGGTAGATTGGAACGGGAAATTGTACGTTATTTTACCTACGTACACACAGCATTCAGAGCCCACTGAAAAACATATGTGATGCTAAGCGTACACCCACGGACAATGGTTTGTGACTCAGACAACGCAGGGCGCCGTTGGCGATAACAGTGATAAACGGAAGAGTTTATTCTATGCAAGTTTGTTGCTACGATACTAATTCCTTACATGTGCATTAGGGTGGCCCAAAATAACGCTTTTTCTGGAAACCTGGAGGTTCACGCTACAAATGAAAAAAACGGCAACTCTAAAAAACGTCAGCTCAAAATGAGATTTTTGAAAAAAAAAAGTAAATTTTTCTAATGCATTGAAATTAATTGCAACCCATCCCTGCTACCAAATCATTGACATTAGATCATAAGTTAACGCAATTTTAGCTATAAATAAAATACTTTTAAGCTATAAATAAAACTAATGGATGAGATTCCATTTTTTTAAAATTGACATCCCAATGTACCTTCAATAAGCTGGAATCTTCAACGAATTTGATCTAAACACTGAGATTAATGAGCACCTTAAAATCTGAATAACTCTTTGGAAAACTCTATTTGAAAACATTTACTTAATTACTTCTCCAAATAAATCTTATTTAGTGACCGTTTTTGTTTGACATTGAAACTAAAGCGATGCCAATTTAGAATCGATACGCTTCCAATCGGATGTATCTCAGAATCTGATTGGTGTAGAATAAAACGTTATTAGAAGATAATGTTCTGTATTTATTGTAGTTTAAAAATACAAGATGGGTTTTGCGATTATTATGCCTCTCGAATAAAAATTCGAACTTTGGGCTTCATACGTGCCATCAACTACTGCACAAGCTGCTGGTCAACCTCACCGGCTGCTTTTTTCCAGTATCAGGCCATTGAAATAGCATCCTTAGTCCAAGTCAGAAGATTTTCGTCCAAGTCAGAATCTGGCCTTGTCCTTGGAGATACCCGGAACATTTCCAGATGAGGCAAACTTTATAG